TATATATATATATTGTTATAATTTTTTGTACAGCTGCTGCGATACAAGGAGATGCTAAATCCACCAATCAACAGGCAGTGGATACAATTAACGGTACCAGTCTTGTTAAAAATTCCTCGACTGCAGCTGTTGTGCCAGCCAATGCTTCTGTCACTATTGCCAACATAACTAAGAACACCACTGACGATACTAAAACCGTTGCTGCTGTACCTGCTACTGCTGCTGCTACTGCTATTGCTACCAATGTCACTGGTAACAAAGACAACGACACTATTGCCAATGAGCAAAGCACGTCAACAGCTTCGTCATCCGCTTCATCCGCGACAGTGACAACAGCGTCTACAACTTTGTCAACGACAACCAAGAAAACGACTGTACCTGAAAATTGTACAAATACGGGTACAATCACGACTACAACTACAGCCACTACAATCACAACTATAGCCACACCTACCACGAGCAATGCATCCATTTCATCAACGACTGCAGTTCCAGTGTCGACAAAAGTTGCTCCACCGTCTCCTTACAAGGAACGACACTTTGATGGACTGAGCTTTCTAGGTAAGTGTGACGTTGCTTTAAATATAAAAAATTGTCGCCTCGCGATCGAGCAAAATTAGTTACGTAATTTGTTCTGCCGTTTTGCAGGTGGTATCATTTTAGCTACGTGCTTGATGGCAATCGGCGTGCTCTCCTGGAAATTTTATAAAACCTTCAACGAGCAAAACTACCGCACCCTATGATACAGACGTTGCCATCGCGAGAATTCCATTTTCCAATAAGTAAATGAGCAGTCGTTGGGACTGAAAACTACTGAAAATTTTACCATAATAATAATATTACGTATTTTTATAACGCACTCGAGTGTCGCGTGGTTTAAGTGCTCTTAGTAATGTGATGTGCAAACGAGAATTTCGTTTCTTTGTATGCAGTTGCTGCAAAGGCGGCGGGGTTACGCGCGTTGTGTTGTTACGTGTGTAGCGTCGCCTCTTTGTACGCGTCGCTCGCACGCGTCGCTCGCACGCGCATCGTAATAGCGTATACGCATTCGAGGGAATGAGAGAGAGAGAGTACGCGAACGAGCGAGCGAGCGAGAGAGAGAGAGAGAGAGAGAGAGTACGCCACGTGCGAGAGAAGCGGAGAAAGAAAACCGCAGGCAACTCGTGAGGGCGTGAGAGCAAACACACGGTCTAGTACATTACCATGCGCATGCGTAACTTGCTTACGCAGTCGACGACCAATCAAATACACACATTCCATCGAAAAGATCAATTCTGCGGCATAACGACGTTTTCACGTAATATTATTCGCTCAAGTGACAACAAAAAATCATTTCGAAGAGAATATACTCCCTTTTATTTTATTTTCTTTTCTGATTTTTTTTTTATTATTATTTTTCTTCTTCTTTGTCGTACTCATTTGTTGTCAACCGTTGTGGTTGATTCAACGCGTATAAGAAGGATGATACGTACACAGATATAAAGGTTCCTACGTGTATATTCGTAATAATATGAAATATACATATATTATATATATATATCTATATCATATATATATCTCTCTAGAACGATTGAAATTGAAAAAGTTTAAGGAAAAGTTTGTACTAAGATTTGGGAGACCTGCGCGATACAAATAACGATATGGTATCAACGTACAGCGGTACGTCGTATTTTCTAACGTTATTCTCTTCGGTGTTAATCTTCTCGCGGAGATGATGTTTCACTGTTAATCTTGGCTGCGACGGATACTTTGTACGTGCAATCCGTTCGTACGCGTAAATCGTGGACGCCCCTGTACACGCCTCGATCAAGCGATATCGTCGGCCCGTTCCACTCAAAAAAGAGATGAAAGTTTTCAGTTTCGATTTTCGTACCTGTTGAAACACGTAGTTACATGTTACAAACGTTCGACTTGATTTTCGACGCATCAAAAAAAAAAAAAAAAAAAAAAAAAAAGTGCAACACGTTGATTGTTTGAATATTTTACGCGATACCGTCGTATATTTATACGTATTTTTTCGTTTATACATACATACATATATATATATATCTTTTTTTCTTTTTTGAATTTTTTAAAACACGTAACATTCAGTTTTCCTTTTTCTTTCCTTTTTCGTTTCTCTTTTCTCGCAAAGTAAGTGTTTCATTTTAAAAGAGGTAAGATCGGACATTACCAATGTGACAACAGATGCACCGTAATTGACCACACTGACTCCTAAAACTCCCTCCGTCGGCTCGAACATGTTCTCGATACGTTTTGCATCGTCGGGTGAAAAGTTTAAGCGTTTGCACGCGGAACGATGATTCTCTCGCAACAGTTCTCCTACGATACACGTTGTCAGTGTACACTATTAAGCCGAAATTTCGACGGAAACGCTTTTAAGAGAACAGAAACTAATTTTTTTGAAACATACTAATTAAAGTCGAATATGCGATCTGCTGTTACAAGAAAAGATGTCTAAATATATACGTATGTATGTGTGCGTCTACGTATGTGCGTATATATCTATATATATATCTATATATATATATATATATATATGAAAAAAAAAACTAAGCCTAAATAATATATTGTATTTACGTTTCACGTAATATTTTAACAAGCTGTGTAAAATACTCGCTTATATGAATTATACGATATGAACACTACTCAACGCAACAATGACAAAGCAGCAAGTGTCGAGTTGGTCAACCATTTGACAATGTCCTACCAAACTCTTCCCATCGTTCCCTTCTGATCGCGATCGTCATTTTCCTTATCGTTTCGTCGTCCCGGAGGATCGCGTCGTTGACCATTTCCATCGTTTCTCGCGGGAACAAAAGTGTCATCATCGGTGACGCACCGATCGGGTGTGCACGCCATCGAGACATCGTGTTCATCACCGTCGCAACTTGCTCGTAGCGTGTTCTCCTCGCCGACGAGCGTCTCCCTTTCTCCTCGGGATCGTCGTCCGACAATTCGACGAGCACCAGCTGAACGTCCGTGTCGTTCCATCTCAATCGTTCGACGTCGAGAGATCGCGCGTCAAACGCGACCATCTGACCCTCGTTCGCAATAACGCAGGCCAGAATGTCCGACGCGCGAACTTTGCAACGATCGCTCGTCGTGGCCAGTCTCTCCGCCAGCTGGCAGACCAACATTCTCTCCACCAGGTTGCCGCTGCAGGTATTCGCGATCGCTTCGAGAAACATGTACAGCGCGACCACCAGCGCGGTATTGCTCCCGAGACCGAGTTTCGCAGGCAAGCTGCTTACGATTACCACTTTGAAGCCAGGAACCTCCGCTGCTGTCGACAATATGCCGAGATTGAGATTAGTTTTCGTTCTTTTCCGTTTAGTTTTCGTTCTCGGCTCGAGAATGTTGGAAAAAAGAAAAAAAAT